TAGTCACCTTGTCGTTTTTATATTTTCAGATTACAAAAACCTATATCTACCATCTATATTGCACTTGTATCATCATCTCTTCGTTGAACTAGTACACCTATACAATTTACCATTGTATTGGGTGTGTTGGGGACACAAGAGACTCTTTGTTATTTGGTTACATGGTTGCTTGAGAGAGACCATCTTCATCCTACGCCTCCCACGGATTGATAAATCTTAGGTCATCCACTTGAGGGAAATTTGCTACTGTCTTACAAACCTCTGCACTTGGAGGCCCAACAACATCTACAAAAAGAAGGTTGTGTAGTAGACATCACTCAGCAAACCATGCGGTCAAGATGCCGCCATCCAGCGGTCTCCTGGCCGTAGCCGGCTCCGAGACGATGCTCCCAAGGAGGAAAAAGACACGAAAACGTCTCCATCACCCGATCCAACAGATCTGAGGTTTCCCTCCGGAGCCAATGCCGTGGGGAGGAGGAGCACACCTCCACGACAACGCTTCCAAGAAAGGTCGCGGCACCCACGGGTGCCGCCATCGCCTGCTCCGATGAAGAGCGAACGAGGATTTCTCCTGGACATGTGTCGACCACCTGCCCCCACCGACCGCCGCCAACCAACCACCATACCAGTTGAGTCCAACCTTACTCTGGACGCGAGATCCCACGATCCACTGCGCCTAGGAACGCACCACCCCTTGGGCGTAGCAACCGCCCACCACAGCAACCAACGCGCCGCAAGCAGCAGCCCCCGGATCAGAGAACCACCAATGGCCAAACCCAAAATGGAGTCACTCCAACGAAGCAGCAGAGCAGATGAGCATGCCCTTCACCGCAGCACACCTCGAGCTCCGGTGACGCATGCCCGCCGCGCCCCACCAGTCACCGCGCCCGTCGCGCGCAAGCTGCCGCCGCGCTAGTCCATCGATATGTGCACCACACGCACATCCAAGGCCGAGAGCCGCCTCGCGCATGGGCTCCGGTGGAAGATTCAGATTGAAAAGGTGCACATTTTCCAATTGAAGCTCCAAGAATAGAATTCGACCATGAGTCCAGGACCGAGGCATACACGCTGACGTGCCAAAAAAAAAAGAGCCATGCATGTCCAAGATTTTTGGACGAGAAAAACCAACACACTTTTTTCTTCCCAATCTTGTAGCACGACCTTGAGTCACACAGCAATGAACGGAGAGGTCCAAATTATTTTGTGACAATGTAATCCCTACTTCTTTATATTTTCTATTCTGCATCCAGTTGTCTGCCTCTTGTGATATTAATTAATTAGATTTGAAATGCACTTTGGGTGTTTTTACTTTTATAAAAAAAATCGTTGTTATTATGATTTCCTTTCAAAAAAGGGGAGAAAAACCCCCCGGACTCTGCATCGGTCCAGCTAACTAGTGTCGAGTTCATCCGAGTTTTCTCACCAACACGGTAACATCTCTGGAAAAGCAGTGGCGGTGCACCCTGCAAAGTGCAAGCTACTCCACTTTTGGACGTTAGATAGGGCAGTCGATCTGCCCGTCGCTACCGAGCCACTGGTCGCTCGTCCAACAAAGCATCCGAGCACCTATAAATTGAACCACGAGCCCACGACACGACGGCACGACCACCCATCGCTCACACAGTGCATCACGAACTTAACCCCGGTTCACTCCGATCATCATCCACCCACCGATGGCCCGACGCCGGAGCAGCGGCGGCATCTCGTCCGCGCTGAGCCTGGGGCTCGCCGTGATGGCCGTCACATGGGCGACGTCCACGGCGCAGCAGCAGCAGCAGCAACCGCCGGCCGTGCCAAGCGTGAGCGTGCCGAGCTGCCCGCCGGTGCAGGCCTCGTTGTCGCCGTGCGTGAGCTACTTCATCGGCAACTCCTCGTCGCCGTCTGACACGTGCTGCGTCCAGATGCGGGCCCTGTTCCAGTCGGAGGCGCCCTGCCTCTGCGCCGCCGTGTCCGCCGTGCCGTCCCAGCTCGGGTCCGTGGTCGGCGGCCTGCTCCCCACCGCCTGCAACCTGCCCCCCAACGCCTGCTCCGGTACGTGCATGCTGCCAGCGAGATGCTCCTACATGTAGAAAAACTGGAAAGTTCTGACCATTTTTGTTGGTGTGTCATCGTCGCCACCTGGACTCACTCCACCGCAGCTCCGACTTCAAAGCAACCAAGCAACCTACAGAAGAGCACCTTGGACACGCCCGAAAGAACCGACTATCGAAGTCCATGCCGCGACCCAAGCTCCTCTCGATGCCATCATCGTTGCCAAAAACAAAAACCAGCGCCCCAGCTCAGTGATACGTCTCCAACGTATCTATAATTTTTTATTGTTCCATGCTACTATATTATCTGTTTTGGATGTTTATGGGCTTTATTATACACTTTTATATTATTTTTGGGACTAACCTATTAACCGGAGGCCCAACCCAAATTGTTGTTTTCTTGCCTATTTCAGTGTTTCGAAGAAAAAGAATATCAAACGGAGTCCAAACAGAATGAAACCTTCGGGAGAGTTATTTTTGGAACGGAAGCAATCCAGGAAACTTGGAGTATACGTCAGGGAAGCTTCGAGGTGGCCACGAGGCAGGGAGGCGCACCTACCCCCTGGGCGCGCCCCCACCCTCGTGGGCCTCTCGTGGCTCCCCTAACCGAGTTCTTTCGCCTATATATGTCCATATACCCTAAAAACATCGAAGAGCACAATAGATCAGGAGTTCCACCGCCAGAAGCCTCCATAGCCACCGAAAACCAATCTAGACCCGTTCCGGCACCCTGCCGGAGGGGAGAATCCCTCTCTGGTGGCCATCTTCATCATCCCGACGCTCTCCTTGACGAGGAGGGAGTAGTTCACCCTCGGGGCTGAGGGTATGTACCAATAGCTGTGTGTTTGATCTCTCTCTCTCTCTCGTGTTATTGAGATGGTACGATCTTGATGTATCGCGAGCTTTGCTATTATAGTTGGACCTTATGATGTTTCTCCCCCTCTACTCTCTTGTAATGGATTGAGTTTTCCCTTTGAAGTTATCTTATCGGATTGAGTCTTTAAGGATTTGAGAACACTTGACGCATGTCTTGCATGTGCTTATCTGTGGTGACAATGGGATATCACGTGATCCACTTGATGTATGTTTTGGTGATCAACTTGCGAGTTCCGTGAACTTATGCATAGGGGTTGGCACACGTTTTCGTCTTGACTCTCTGGTAGAAACTTTGGGGCACTCTTTGAAGTTCTTTGTGTTGGTTGAATAGATGAATCTAAGTTTGTGTGATGCATATCGTATAATCATACTCACGGATACTTGAGGTGACATTGGAGTATCTAGGTGACATTAGGGTTTTGGTTGATTTATGTCTTAAGGTGTTATTCTAGTACGAACTCTATGATAGATTGAACGGAAAGAATAGCTTTATGTTATTTTACTACGAACTCTTGAATAGATCGATCAGAAATGATAACTTTGAGATGGTTTCATACCCTACAATAATCTCTTCGTTTGTTCTTCGCTATTAGTGATTTTGGAGTGACTCTTTGTTGCATGTTGAGGGATAGTTATATGATCAAATTATGTTATTATTGTTAAGATGACTTGCACTAGTGAAAGTATGAACCCTAGGCCTTATTTCCACGCATTGCAATACCGTTTGTGCTCACTTTTATTATTAGTCACCTTGTCGTTTTTATATTTTCAGATTACAAAAACCTATATCTACCATCTATATTGCACTTGTATCATCATCTCTTCGTTGAACTAGTACACCTATACAATTTACCATTGTATTGGGTGTGTTGGGGACACAAGAGACTCTTTGTTATTTGGTTACATGGTTGCTTGAGAGAGACCATCTTCATCCTACGCCTCCCACGGATTGATAAATCTTAGGTCATCCACTTGAGGGAAATTTGCTACTGTCTTACAAACCTCTGCACTTGGAGGCCCAACAACATCTACAAAAAGAAGGTTGTGTAGTAGACATCACTCAGCAAACCATGCGGTCAAGATGCCGCCATCCAGCGGTCTCCTGGCCGTAGCCGGCTCCGAGACGATGCTCCCAAGGAGGAAAAAGACACGAAAACGTCTCCATCACCCAATCCAACAGATCTGAGGTTTCCCTCCGGAGCCAATGCCGTGGGGAGGAGGAGCACACCTCCACGACAACGCTTCCAAGAAAGGTCGCGGCACCCACGGGTGCCGCCGTCGCCTGCTCCGATGAAGAGCGAACGAGGATTTCTCCTGGACATGTGTCGACCACCTGCCCCCACCGACCGCCGCCAACCAACCACCATACCAGTTGAGGCCAACCTTACTCTGGACGCGAGATCCCACGATCCACTGCGCCTAGGAACGCACCACCCCTTGGGCGTAGCAACCGCCCACCACAGCAACCAACGCGCCGCAAGCAGCAGCCCCCGGATCAGAGAACCACCAATGGCTAAACCCAAAATGGAGTCACTCCAACGAAGCAGCAGAGCAGATGAGCATGCCCTTCACCGCAGCACACCTCGAGCTCCGGTGACGCATGCCCGCCGCGCCCCACCAGTCACCGCGCCCGTCGCGCGCAAGCTGCCGCCGCGCTAGTCCATCGATCTGTGCACCACACGCACATCCAAGGCCGAGAGCCGCCTCGCGCATGGGCTCCGGTGGAAGATTCAGATTGGAAAGGTGCACATTTTCCAATTGAAGCTCCAAGAATAGAATTCGACCATGAGTCCAGGACCGATAACATCTCTGGAAAAGGTGCACATTCATCCGAGTTTTCTCACCAACACGGTAACATCTCTGGAAAAGCAGTGGCGCTGCACCCTGCAAAGTGCAAGCTACTCCACTTTTGGACGTTAGATAGGGCAGTCGATCTGCCCGTCGCTACCGAGCCACCGGTCGCTCGTCCAACAAAGCATCCGAGCACCTATAAATTGAACCACGAGCCCACGGCACGACGGCACGACCACCCATCGCTCGCACAGTGCATCACGAACTTAACCCCGGTTCACTCCGATCATCATCCACCCACCGATGGCCCGACGCCGGAGCAGCGGCGGCATCTCGTCCGCGCTGAGCCTGGGGCTCGCCGTGATGGCCGTCACATGGGCGACGTCCACGGCGCAGCAGCAGCAGCAGCAGCAACCGCCGGCCGTGCCAAGCGTGAGCGTGCCGAGCTGCCCGCCGGTGCAGGCCTCGCTGTCGCCGTGCGTGAGCTACTTCATCGGCAACTCCTCGTCGCCGTCCGACACGTGCTGCGTCCAGATGCGGGCCCTGTTCCAGTCGCAGGCGCCCTGCCTCTGCGCCGCCGTGTCCGCCGTGCCGTCCCAGCTCGGGTCCGTGGTCGGCGGCCTGCTCCCCACCGCCTGCAACCTGCCCCCCAACGCCTGCTCCGGTACGTGCATGCTGCCAGCGAGATGCTCCTACATGTAGAAAAACTGGAAAGTTCTGACCATTTCTGTTGGTGCGTGTGTGTGCAGCTGTGACAGGGACCTCGGGCTCTGCTCCGGCCGGTGGCGCAGCGGCGCCGTCGTCGTCAGGGACACCTACTGATGCTGCTGCCGCCGCGCCGGTGACCGGTCCGGCTGATGCGAACCCGGCTGGTACGCCTTCCGGTGGTGGGGTGAAGTCGGTTCCGGGGACGGTTGATTCGGCTGCCGTTGAGTGCAAGGGTACCTCCGCTGCCGTCGTCGTCCTGGCCATGGCTGCCTCGTTCCTAGTAGCTGCTTCTGTTTTCTGATCTCATTGTGTGATTCCGGCCGGGGTTTGCTGTGAGCTTGTCACACGATTAGATACTCAGTTTATCATTGATCTGATCCAGTGCGCATCAGCGTTGTGACTTCTTTTTTATTGGTTATCATCCCCAATGCACATCAGAGTTGTCACTTGGTGGTTTGATACAGTACCAGCTTTTCCGGAAAAAACTTTTGATCTATTATTTTTAACATTAGTATAGATGCAAGCGCTCATTAATACGCGCATACACTCACCCCTATCAACGCACACACACACATCCTATCACTACGAGCATCTTCGAGGACTGAGCCGGCATATCATCTTGAGATTTGCGAAGTCACATCGCCGGAACCAAGACTTGAACCCTGGGGGCTGAGGATACCAAGTTCCCTCTGGACGAGGATCCCCTGCCGTGGCCAAGCCTACCTTTGAGTCACTGACACATGGGTCCTACGGAGCATGGGGCCCACCTGTCAGTGACACAAAGGCAGGGTATGGCAGGGATTGTAAAGTCAGAGGATCCACGTCCGTTCCCTCTAACCATCCAACCACAGATTCGCAACTTTTGATCTATTCATCTGTCATGTCATGGCAGTACAAAGAACAAAAAGAAAACCTCAAAAGTAACAAAAAATAATTGTAAAGAGGAATTAATTTCATCCGGAACTCCAACGTCTCACGCAGCTCCTGAATCGTAGTCATGTGCTTTAACAACTATATTCTGTATAGTTCCACACAAAGCAAATCAGCGCGACAAGCCACAAAACAGAAGCTTAGCAAAGGTGAGGACTCCAGGGCAGAGGATGATTACTCGAAAGGGATTTTGGTAATTTCAGTTGTTTTTACAGGCAAAACAAAAAAGATTCCGTGATACACCTGCATTCGTGCTAGATTTGAACAGGTTCTTTGGTCTAAATTTGATCGTAATTGGATGGATGTGGGTAGAATTCAAATATAAGAGGAGGAGATCGAAGTCTTACCGGCTCTAGAGGAAGAGAGAGGGACATCTTTTGTGATCTCGCCAGTCATGTTGAATGAGCCTAGAATGTGTATGCATATTAGGTATTTTTGTTCTCTTGATTCTTTTAGCAAATATTAGTTTTAAACATGTTGTGTTTAACCGGCGCCCGTGGGTGTTGTTTTCCTCGTTGGAGGCGATGGTGGGGCATCCCTCACTCAATTGTTTCCAGGGGAAACCTCAAATCTGGGGGAGGCTACCATTGACGGCGGCGCCCGTGGACGTCGTAGCCTTCATTGGAGGCGTTGAGGGGCCTCCTGGATCGGATGATGGCGACGTCTTCATCGTCACCATCATCTTTAGAGACATTCATCGGTTGGACGGACATGTGGACAGCTTAGTGGTTGGGCGTCGGCAGGTGGTGGGGCGGTGTTTCATCCTACACATCGATGGCGGCGGATCTCGGCGGCGTGGCGCAGTGGAGACTCGGCGTCCGATGGGTGGCGATGGACTTGCGCAGGAGGACGACGTTGTCTGGCGTCGTGGTGGCGTCGATGGCAGAGAGGCCTGGCAAAGTCGACGCGTTAGTGTCTGATTTGAGGATGGAATCGATGGATGAAGGAGGTGACGGTCCTTGCAGCGTGCGCATGTGGTGCCTATTGAAAGTGCGTCGGACCGGTTTGTAACCCAGTCCAAGTATTGTGACTTGGATGGGGCATCCGGTATTTAATGTTAGGTGTTGATGCAATGTCTGTTTGGTATTAGGCTCGGGTATTCGGCACCCCTTCATCACGGGGATAGGAGTAGCGACAGGTGTTGTCAAGATGGTGGCTTTACACTTACTGATGTATTACCTTGTAAGGACTTTGTGAATAATTAATAAATATCGCCGAGATGCAGAGGTCGGGGTACATCCTCCTTTAAAAAAAAGTCACTGGGTACTAGAGCTAGCTAGAGAGGCTCTGTTTTGGCTCACCAGGCGAGCATGCGACGCAATCGGGTTGGTGACCAACCATCCGAGCCGAGCTCATCAAAGCACATTCTGCAGGAAAGCGGCCCGGTAGGATAGACCTCTCACAGTCACGGGGCGCCGGCAGCGGGTGACATTCTCCGATCAGTTCACCGGCGAGCCCCGAAAAGCCACGGGGCTGGACTAGCCCGGCCCGGGCAGCAGTTAGATAGGCCACCGTTCCCGAGCTTTCCACCCGTCGCGTCGCCCTGTTTTCCCAACAGTCTCTCGTATAAACCCTGCTGCCTCCATCGTCTTCCCCACGTCGAATCAATCCAATCCGATCCAGCACAGTACATTCCATTCCATTCCACCAAGAACTATCCAAGATGGCTCGGCGTGTGCTCGGGGTGGTCGCCGTCCTCGTCCTCGTCGCAAAGGCCACGGCTCCAGAGGCGGCAGCTACTCCCGCCGAGCCTGCAACCACACCGGAGAGTGCTGGTGCGACTGAAGCTCCACCGGCAGCAGGTGACGATTCTCCGGCTGTTGCCACCAAGACAGGACAGGTTGCTCCCCAAGCAGCTGGACCAAGCACCGATTCACAGGGGATATCAAAGCTCCCAGAACTGCTGCACGCAGCAGGCGCGCCGAGCTCTGCCGCTGCCACCGTGCTCATCAGTGTGTTTCTTGCCTATGTTTCGGCCATGTTTGTGTAAACCCCCATAGCAGCCATTACCGTAATACCAGCGAATGTATCCATGTACCATACGAGGAGGCGGTGTAGATTCAGGCCGCGCCCGTGTTACACCATGTTGCAGTGAAAATGTTACACTTCATGTGTTCGAAGCAAAGCAAAATGTTCTAGGGTTTCAGATCCTGATGGGTTACAACAATGGAATCAGACAATGTTCCTTTGGTGGATAACCCCTACCTGCCATAATTCCCCAATATCCACACAAGGATGACGACACTTATCTCCAACAATGCCGCGGGTGAAGTAGCCTAGCACCATGTCACCAGTCTACAGTTAATATGTCAGATTGGATAGACTACATCATAGCTTAGCAACCGAAATTCACATAAGATGCAAATCCTCATGAATGCAGAAGGAAGGTAGGTTCCTGGCATCTCGTTCCACCGTCGACCGGCACCTGAAATACGAGGCTGGGATCTAGGGGTGCTTGTTCTGCTCGTCGACATCTCAACCAGCATAAGTCCACTTCCATCACCCAACATGGTATTTGAGTATTTCGGTCACAACAGCGACTGTAAAACAAATTTGAGAAGAAAATGTCACTAACGGATAGGGCCATGAAAAACGCTTGATAAAATTCATTCAAAATCCAAGGAAAAATATCCAACACTAACTCAAAACATGTAAGGTTAATACGTACTCCCTCCGTCCCAAAATTCTTGTCTTAGATTAGTATGTAGTACATCCGTATCTAGACTAATCTAAGACAAGAATTTTGGGACGGAGGGAGTATATCCTAAGCAAAATGCAGGGTAGAAAGCTGACAGTTAACAAATACGATATGAAAAATGATATTATTAAGAAACAGTAAGACATAGCGAGCTATGCCTCTCCACAGCGATTAGGCCGTCCCACCCGTCCGATTTCAGACATGCATGGCCTGGATCACCTCTGTCATCCACCCCTGCCCCACTTTTACCGTGAAACGGCTACCAAACGTAAACTGGGCCACTACTCTGAAGAACGACTTCGGCGATTTCCTGTGAAGTGGACCAACACTGAGCC